GAGAGCTCGTTGCTTAAAAAGACCCTGGCACCTTCTCTCTCTCTCTCTCTCTTGCTTCCTCCCACCATGTGATCTGCTTGTACCCACCACCTGCCTGCTACTTTCTGCCATGAGTAGAAGCAGCCTAAGGTCTGTGCCAGATGCAGCTGTCCCAGAATTAGCTCGTTGCTTAAAAAGACCCTGGCACCTTCTCTCTCTCTCTCTCTCTCTCTTGCTTCCTCCCACCATGTGATCTGCTTGTACTCACCACCTGCCTGCTACTTTCTGCCATGAGTAGAAGCAGCCTAAGGTCCGTGCCAGATGCAGCTATCCCAGAATCAGCTCGTTGCTTAAAAAGACCCTGGCACCTTCTCTCTCTCTCTCTCTCTTGCTTCCTCCCACCATGTGATCTGCTTGTACTCACCACCTGCCTGCTACTTTCTGCCATGAGTAGAAGCAGCCTAAGGTCTGTGCCAGATGCAGCTGTCCCAGAATTGTAAGCCAAATAAACCTCATTCCTTTATAAATTACTCAGTCTTAGGTATTTCCATTATAGCAACACAAAATCAACTAATACACCATCATTCAATTGAAGCCTCACTGTGTACAGTACAGATCTTTGAAAATTAAGGAAACCTTGTTAAGCATAATGTCTACAGTTTTTTAGACCTTGGTGTTTAATTTTATTAAGTTGGCTATGCTAATGTTAGTTGTAACTCTCAAACAGTATGGTGAATGTATGTCTTGGTTTACTTGGGGTAGTCCTACTTTATGCCTGTATTCTTGGTGTAATTAGTGTATAATGTACCCCTTTTACTTCTGAAAGTGTCTCAGTTTGTACATTAAATTGTATGATCTCTCTATCAGGGAGAGCTACCAAAGAAATTATCCATTTATGCATCCCCAGAATTCGATTTGTGGAAAGTAAATGTAATTAAAATGTGCTGACAGCCACTGTCCCTGCTGTAGACTGTATGCACACTGTATATAAGTCTTTTTGTGGACAAATGGAGAAAAACTTGTGATTTTTCTACTGAAGGACTTTTACTGTTGTAATAGAAAAATGAAATTGCTTCTCCTTTTGGTGTTATATATCCCTCAACCAGTCTTGTTATGATTCTATTAAAGAAAAAAATGCAAAGCCAAGTTTTTCTTTCTGGGCTTATTTTCTAAACAAAATAGACAATTATTATTTGATTTATTATGGTGGAAACCAAACAACTTTATGTGCACTGTAACAAGTGAAAGGAGTCTTGAAAAATATTAGTGAATTTAGTCCATCCCCTACCTTTACAGATGCGCCTCCTAAGTCACAAGGAGGTCACACAACTTATATGTGGTTCCACGGCTATGTAAGTACTGTACAATACTATAGTCAGATCTCCAGTGTATTAATCAAGGAATTCGAGGTTCTTTTTGCTAGAAGTGATTGCGTATGAAAAGCCGAAGGCAATCTTTATTCTCATCCCACTTCCCCTTGTTAACAAAAAAGATCCATGTAAAATATCCTGACTTAAATTTAGGAAATATATGGAAGCTTATTTTTTACATTTTGTATATTAAAGAATATGGTATAATAGGTATGTGCTAGGTACTTGTATGTATGTATGCACAAATATATTATTTAGAATATTTTACCTGTGAAGCTAATAGGATTGTAATGACAATTTTCAGAATTAGACATTTAATCCTTGACTCATTACCAACCAAGAGGAAATGTGTTAGCCTCTGAGATAGCTTAAGTTTTAGAGAATGGTAGGCATGTTCTAAAATGAATAGACATCTTAGAATATGTATATGCTTCCCTTTAGTGACCTCTGAAGTTCAAGGTCCATTTTTAATAAAATTCTCTTATATTTGCTATATGTTTACATTCTAACTTGGACAGGAACTGGGCTCTCCCCTACAGGCAGTGATTCTCTGCCACATCATAGTGGTGGTGTTTGGTTTTGTTTTCCCTCCCACTGCTTTTCTAGCATATGCTCTGGAAGCAGGGGTAGGTGTCTTCACCACTCTTTGTGTTTCTAGATCTGTGCTGTCCAAAACTCTAGCCACTATGAACCTGAGCACTTGGAATGTAGCTAGTTGAAATTGAGGTGTGCAATCATTATAAAAGACATAGAGGTTTCTGGAGACTACATGTGTAAAAAATGTAAAATCCCTCAATATTTTTTTTGTAGGAACTGCATGTTAAAATGACAATATTTTAGATATATTAAATAAAATATATTTTAAAATTAATTTTACCTCTTTTTTTTTCTTTTTCAAATGTAGCTATTAGGAAATTTAAAATTGCATATATGGCTCCTATTCCATTTTTCTTCTCCCTTGAAAACTCCAACCCCAAATCTCATGTCATCAGATTGTATCTCCCTTATCACTCACTGCAATAGTCCTTCTTATAGTTCTGGTTACTTCCCCTCGTGTCTTGATAGAGTCAACTTCTAGGTCACCAACACTTTCTTAACAGTGCTGTCCTGATTCATGGCAAATTCCGTGTACACCTGAATGAACCTTCCAATACGCTGACTTCTTGTTTCCTTGAACTTATTCCTTCTGTTTATGTTGTTTACCTCTTTACCTAAATTACTCAGTTCTAAGAACGTACCTTGATCTTGTCTGTAACAAGATTTGCACGCCCTCCATTATCTCTATTTTATCCATCTGCCCCACTCTCTTGTACTCTGTCTCCAACAATTACTCAACTCCACCAGTGCTTTGTTGCATTGACCGTGCTCTTTTACTGTGCTTCAACCCTTGTTTCATTCATTCACTTATTCAACAAGTATTTATTGGACCCCTATTATATATCATGCCCCATTAGACGTACCAAATGTAGAAAATCTCTGCCTTCAAGTTGCTTATAGTCTAATTTGGGTGACAAATAATAGGACAAGCCAAATAAATTATTTAGCATGGTACTAGATAATGAGAAGTGCTAAGGGTGAAGTTTAAAGCTGGAAATGGGGATATGAACTGTTGGCACTGGGGAGGGGGAGGTTTTAGACAGAAGACCAATGGAGGAGGAATTAAAGAAGCTAGCCAAGTGAATATCTGGGGATAATGCATTCCAGACAAAAAGAACAGCCAATGCAGAGTCCTTGAAGTTGGAGAAACTGGTGTATTCAAAGAATGCAGAAGACAAAGGAAGTATGGCTGGAGTATAAAGGAGAAGAAAAACAGAAGGTGAGATCAGAGAGGTAACTGGATATCAATTTCTGCAGGGCTCTGTAGGTCCTAATAAAAAATATTGGAAAACAGTTGGACCATTTGGGGCAGAAGAATGTCATAATATGATTTACATTCCAACAGGATCATTTTTGATACTGTATTGGGAACGGTTTGTGAGGGAATAAGTGCAGAAGCAGAAAAACCTGTTGGAGGCCACTGCAGTAATGCAAATGAGATGTAAAGGTGGCTCACAGCCCCTGTCCATTTTTGGTGGCTTGATCCATTGTTGTGAAGAGGTTGTGGGAAGTGAGAAGTGGAGACATTCTGGCTACATATTGAAGGTAGAGCTAAAAGAACTTTCGAGAGAATAAATAAAAAAGATCTGAGAGAAAGAGAGGAGTTGAGGATGACTCTGGGATTTTGGCTTCAGCAACCGATATGGGGAAAAAGTAGGGGAACCTGAAAGATTAGGTTAACTTTGAGATCTCTGTTGGATATTCAAAGGCAGATATTAAGTAAGCAGTTGGATAGATGAGCTTGGAGTTCAGGAGAGAGGTCTGGACTGGAGACACACGTTTAGGAAGTGTTGATGTAGGTGGTGTTTAAAACCACAGGACTGAGTGAGACACCAAAGAAGGGAATGTAATTACAGAAGAGAAGAGAATCAAGAGCTGTGCTCTGGACTATGCCAAAATTAACATGCTGGCAAAGGATACTGAGAAAGAGCAACCAGTGAGATCAAGAGAATGTGGTTTGCTGAATGCCCATCTTCCTGGAAGAAAATGTACCAAGGAAGAGGGAAGAATGAATTTCAGATGTTTCTGATGAATCAAGTAACGTAAAGACTGAAAATTAACCACTGGGTTTTGCAACGTAGATGCTGCTGATGGATAGGGGCTAGCAAACTTATCTGTTGTGTGTTTTGCTACAGTGTCTCTTACTGCCTCTGACTCTCTTCTTTGCCTCTCCACCATTTATTCTCAACACACCCAGCATGATGACTTGTAAAAAATATATAAATCATATCACTTCTCTGCTCAGAATGGCTCCCAATTTAATGCTAATAAAAGTCAAGGACGTTACAGTGCTTTAAAAAGCTCTGTACAAATCTAGCACTCATATTTTACTCTGATTTTTCCTACTCCCCCTATTAATTTCTCATTCAGTTCTGGCAACTAGTCTCCTGAAGCTACTTGAAAATTCTTGAGGCCATGTAACATCTGTATGGCCTTATTACAGTGTTTTCTAAAACATCCCCACCTCAGGTGTCCGTCTACTACTATGTAGTCAGCTCCCTCAATCTCTTTTGGGTCTTTCTTGCTACTCTGTTACTTTTTTCAATGTAGCCTTACCCTCCTTATCTGATTTAAAGTTGAAGCACCTTTCCAATCAGCATTTTGCTTTTTCTTTCTCAACTCTATTATTTTCCTTTAGCATTTACCACCTTTTCCCCATTCTAACTCATATACTTACTTTTTGTTTTCATTAAGTATATATTAATCTCCATTTGAATGTCAACCCCATGAAGCCAGGGGCTTTTGTCTTCTTTACTGATGTATCTTAAGTGTTGAGAATAATAGTTCCTAGCACATGGCAAATGATTAATAACTATTTATGAATTTTTCTTATTTGTCATTTATTTATGAATGAAGCTTATAAATTTATAAAATGTGTAACTGGGGTAATAAGAGTGACATGTTAACTTTTTCAAAAGCTACTATCTATTGGAACCCTTACCAAGTAGGGAAGTACTATTTTGTAGAAATTAGGTGATGTTAACCCAGCCTAATAATTAGCTTCTTGGTTCTCTGGTTATTTATTCAGTTTTTCCTGAGTGTTTATATTCTCAAGGGAAGTTCAGTAAATACCTGTTGTCTACTCTGTTGCAAACACTATGCTAGTGTCTGTGATTTATAGGCCTCTTTTAGAATGAGATATATACACAAGTATATCAAAGGTTATAACAAAGAGTGGCTGGGTGATGTTAGAAATAATTGCACAGGGCTTTGGTTTCACTAGGCACCATTGCAGTCTATAAATGGTCTATTTTAGATTGAACACCCTATCTCAGTGGCACAATTTTCTTAAAGAAATTAATCTAGCTTGTAAAGCCTATGTAAATATGCAGGAGTAGTCCACTTTCTTCAATCTCTGTGCATATCAGATGTCCTACTCCCAGCTAGAACAAGAGAACTGCAGAAATGCTCTGAAGCTGATTCCTCCCCCACCCTACCTGAAGCTTGCATTGATCCTCTAATGTTTTTAATCAATCTTGCTAAATACTTCCTGGAGGGAAAATGAGTAGTGATGAGAAGTAATCTTGCTGCTTCTTTCTTCTGAAAAATTCAGTGATTGATTTACAGATATTGCTTATTCATCATGATATCCCATTGTAGAAGATGGGGATTAAATTTCAGCCTTAAAGGTTATAGAATCCCTCAAGGCTTAGAGTACAGTAATGAAAAAATGAGAGCCTACAAGAGAGACTCCAGAATCTGCCTAGTGAATAAACTTTCATCAGGCCTTTTTTCTGATGTGAATTTAGGATCATGTGGATAGGAATTTGCCATGTGGTTTTTACTGGAGCTTTAGAACTTTATATTTTGATGTGAATTTAGGATCATGTGGATAGGAATTTGCCATGTGGTTTTTACTGGAGCTTTAGAACTTTATATTTCATATACTACTCCTTTTGTTATATTTCTCTTCAGTTGAAAGCAAATTCTCCTTAGTTTTCCTGAGGTCATACATAATCTCTAGGCCTTTTCCAACTGGTCTGGGTGGCCTTCTTAATAAGGCCTCCTAAACAGTAATGATATGCCGTCATATACTACTCCTTTTGTTATATTTCTCTTCAGTTGAAAGCAAATTCTCCTTAGTTTTCCCGAGGTCATACATAATCTCTAGGCATTTTCCAACTGGTCTGGGTGGCCTTCTTAATAAGGCCTCCTAAACAGTAATGATATGCCAAGTGGAAGCCATCTCTTCAGGAAGTCTAGTTTAATTGCTTGTAAGTTAGCTCTTTCCTCTGAAGATTAATGGATGTCCCTGACTTTGCTTATTTATTCAGAATAATACATGTTTCCTAGGGTGCAAGGTTTTCCTGGGCCCCAAACCTAATTCTTGGAGTTCTAGAGTATTAGGTCCTATAGATTTGTGGTTTGTCTGTCTTAAATTCTAGCTTTGACACGAAGCATCTTAACACATTCTCCCTATACTCCAATAAGGTCAGAAATAGGAAACTCATTCCAGACTTGGTTCTTCTATGTAACTTACTTTTAGTGTTTTTATAAAATCCTATTCTGATTCATATATTTCCACAGTATGGCAACGACTCTATTTCTTGCTCAGGCTGGGTCTTTTCTTCCAATGTCTTCATTTATTCATTCATCAAACTCTTCAGCATTGTATGTATTAGGCACTGTGCGAAGTACCAGGGCTATAACCACTGAACCAGAGAAACATAGCCTTTGTCTTCATGTAGCTCATACCATTTATCTTTCCCCTAGGAATTGAACAGTTTCTATTGGTGCTTGTGTAACAGGTTATCCTTCTAAAATCATGGCATCTTCATGGATTACACATTATCTAAGCTTTTTAAAATATACTATTTGAAAACCTAAAAAGTAAATACTCCTTATTTTAAAATAATGTTTATACCAGACAGAATGATTATTTCTGTTAGTTTTTACTGTATGCATAGTTTTCTTACAGTGTTTCAGTTAAGGTTTTCCGGTCTTCCTCTTTCATAATCATTATGCCAGCTCTGACTATGCTGATATCTTACAAATGAGAGTAGACTTTCACATGAGAGGAACACACAAATGGAATTTTAGAGGAAGAGATGGCTGTTTTTTTTTAGGTGAATAGTCAGATGGGAAAAACTTAGAATTTGCACTCAAAAGAGTTGGTCTTAACATCAGGCTCTGCTACTTGCCAGTTATGTGACCTTGGACAAGCAACTTAATTACTCCAAATGAACAACAGAAATGATGTCTGTTTGTTTTTTTTTTTTTCTCTCTCATTTTATCAGACAAAATATAGTATTGAAAGCTCTATTCAGGTGTTTAATGCTATTTAATTATTTAATGTTCTTTACATATGTGACTCCCAGTTTTACTTGTCTTGCTTAGGTTGACATGATTGTGATACTGGGAGGTCTTGCTGGGCGTTTTGACCAGATTATGGCATCTGTGAATACCCTGTTTCAAGCGCGACACATCACTCCTTTGCCAATTATAATGATCCAAGAGGAATCTCTCATCTATCTGCTCCAACCAGTAAGTGAAAAATATAGTGTCAGAAATTTGCTTTCACAAAACTTCTAACATTTGAATAGACTAGGAGGAAACTTTGGCTCAGCTTTGTCTTTGAACTATGAGTGAAATTGACCATTTTTGCTTACTATTGCTACTTTAGTCTGTCTCCCCAGATCACTGTAGAGGAGAAGCCTCAAAGTTTTCATTTGATTGTGCCCCCCCCCAAAAAAAAGAAAATCTTTTAACTTTTAATTGACTAAATTCAGTTTAGCACTTTTGCATTTTGAGTAGATAAATGTGAATGACACTTGAGAAAAACCTCAACAGTGGGAACACAAGGCTTGGCAAAATATTTCAAATGGAATTTTCATATATTTTGAGTGTTGTCATTATCATGGGAAACTGGATTTGATTTTGTTAAGCACTTAAAAGAAAATCTTTAGCTTTTACTATGCATAAGTTGCCTGATTATTAATTCACTAGTTAAGAATAAATTATTAATGATGATGCCATTCATTTCCACTGATAAACATCAAGGAAATTTTCTATCACTGTAGTACATAGAACAGAATTCTTACTAAGTAAACAAATTTTATAAGGTTGATGGGTAGATTTCAGTTTTAAAAAATAATTGTTGGTAACATTTTTTTGAAGACTTTTTGTTTCTGCCTCTCATTGTAATGCACGGCTTATAATTTTGCTTCTACCCTATCTGCTATCCATCTGCAACATATCATTATTAAAAATTGTTGTTTAGTTAATATAGTAGGTTTAATGCATGCTTATTTTCATTCAGCTAGTTTTGCATTTTTTACTGGCTCTTTACCTTGTTGCTTCCTGGAAAAATGTGGAAGGGGAGCCGAGTTCAGATTTCACACTCCATACTATCCATTTATTCAGTCAGCAACAGTTATAGAGTGCCTGCTGCCAATCCGTTGCATGACAGTTGAGGATAAAAAAGAAGTTAAGTATGATCTTTGCTCTCTAGTTCATATTCAGTGAAGGAGATGTTTATAAAAACATAATCATAATGAGTGTTAAAAGATTAGTGCATAAAGATGAAAGAGTCAATAACTTGGGCATGGGAGTAGTGAGTAGTAAGGTAAGGCTTCACAGAGGCACTCACATTTTATTCACTTGATTAATCCAACAAATGTTTGTTGAGTACCTGCTATATGCCAAGCACTTTTCTAGGGATACTTTTCTATCAGTCAGCAAAACAGATTTAAAAACCTTGCTTTTGTGGAACATACATTCTACAGAGCTTACATGTTAACAGAATCTTCAAGGATGAGTAGACATTTGCCATGGGAGATGGTGGGAGAGTTATTCAAGCCAGGAGGAGCCAGTAACGAAACATGGAGGTGTAGGGTGTATTATAGAATGGGCAGCAAGAACGTGAGCATCATATGGGAAAATGCCAGAAGATAAGACTAGAAAACTGGTTTGGATACTGATTGTAGAGAGACTTAAATTCCACACAATCCAGTGTGAACTTTTTTGTCATAGCTTTTGGGAAGTCATTAAAAGATTTCCATTAGCGGTATGACATGTACAGATATGCTTCTTCGATTCCTTATTGAATATCATGTTTGTTAAAAAACGTATAGTTTCCCAAGAATTTCAGAAGTTTGAAACTTTATATCATTGTGAAGCATTGAGCTATATCATGTTGTATTGAATGGATAGTATGATAGCTAAAGTACTCAACAGTAACTTGTCATTGTCTAGCTACTATCATTAATGGATTACTAGTTTAAACTGCAGTAGAATTTTTTAAAAGTATAATTGAAAGATTAATAGAAAAAGCCACATCTAAAAATTGACCTGCTGTTCAGATGGTTTCACTGTTTTTGGTGATTTGCAACTGCACTATGATTAGTATAACTGTGGGATTTCTAAATCACATTCAGTTTGGGATTCACTGGATTTCCTTCATCTATAGATTGCTGTCTGTCCTCAGTTCTGGAAAACTCTCAACCATTATGTTTTCAAATATTGTCCTATTCTCTTTCTCTTTTCCTTTGCAACTCCAATTAGATACATAAAAGAAAAATCCTCTAAATGTATCACGTATATCTCAAAACTTCATTTCATATTTTCTATGTGTTAATCTGTCTTGGCAGCAGTCTGAAGTTCTTCATCACCTCTCTGCTGTGTTTCACTCCCCCTTCATCCGTGTCTATTCTGCTCCATCCACTGAGTTTTAGTTCCTGTCACAAGTCTTCTTTCTTATATGCTTTCCCTTTATGTTTCCAAGATTTTTTTAAAAAATGTAATTGTCAAACTTATTTTATATTCTAGAATAATTCCAGTGTAAGTTAGCTGCCTTTTATGCTCATTTCTGCTTTCATATTTTGTAACCTCAGTTTCTTCTGTGTTTTGTGATTTTTGGCCATGACCTCACATTTCTGAGAACTGTACGCATGGGAATTATTTGAGGTATGAGTTAAAAATAAGTCTAAGGAGAATTTACATTTGCTTTTGCCAGACTTCTGAGTGGACTCGTCGCCCAGTTCTTGGGGGTATTAACAACTTAAGACATTAGTTTGAGACTTTTTTGGACTATCTAGGTGGTACAGGTTCTGCACATAATACTGCTGGGAGTTTGCCATTTGGTTACAAATGCTCAGGGGAGACTTTTTTCCCTCTTCTCAGATATAGAGTGCCAAGGTTTAGTCGGGCTGTTTTTCTAGCAGTCCAGTGGGAGTGTGATTTATATTCATCTTGATATTTAGGATCTCTGCTTTATATGGGACAAACTCCTTTTAGATTCCTACCCCGGGCAGACCTTGCCTTTGTCTCTTGATGGCTTCCATATATGGAGGCCTTGGAAACTGAAGCTTACATTCATCTGATTTGGTTAACACCCATAAGATGAACGTTAGCTTTGGTCTTCTTTTTATATCAAAACTTAGGTTTTTGTTGTTGTCGTTGTTTTAAGGCAGATGTTCGATGCATTTTGAAAGGATCCCTTTAATTTTATCTAGCATTTTTCAGTTTTTCAGGGTACTAATCTATACCATACTACCTCTGTAAGTCAGGTCTTACCCTGTCTATAATTAACCACAAATCTGAGAGGCTTACCTGAGATTAAGTTTATTAAGTTTTTTTTTTTTTTTTTCCATTAATGATGAATCTCATGTGGTTTGGGTAGCATCTTCCATTTTATATCTAAGTCAACTGAAACACATTGCTGCAGCAGGGGAGAAAAATCACTAGGAAGTGGCACCGCATGTCTTTGAAGGCTAGATCAGGCCTTGGCCAGGGTCACCTGTGGTAGGAATGCAGTTATACTGCCCTGGCTCAACCACAAGGCAGGCTAGGAAACAAAGGCCATGGGCTCAGGAAAAGGAAATACTGTGTGAACACAGAGCATGGTCTCTGTCAGACTTCCAGAAACTGAAGTCTTGAAAGAAATTCTGGAATCATGACCCTGCACAGTTTATAGGAACATCATGTAAAATGTGTTGAATTTTAGTTAGTTACTAAAGCAGAATCCCCAATTCTTCAAACCTGGTAATTATGTTAAGTGTACCTGCATAGCCTACATCTCCAAACACATGTCCTATAGATTCTGTCTATGGTAATTTGATTTTATGTTATCAAAACAACTACAAAATTATCTTGTCCTAAAAAAGTAATTATGACATAGTGTGGGACAAAAAACTCATGCAACATTCTCTGTTCCATCCACCCTATTCTAGGGAAATCTTCTTTCTAGAGATACATTCTAATGCTCTGCTTTTCTTTCACTTTTAGTAAGGGAGTAACAAGATAATTCAAAACACAAATGCGAAAGCCAAAATGAGTATATTTGGGGGTTTAAAATATGAATGAGTCTCATGTGATCTACCATATTATTAAGTACTTTTTATTCTACACTTATGCTATGTTATTAATCCTAAAAATCAATTAAAAGCTATACTGAAATTATTACACAGAAGCATTATACATCCTAGAAATTATACTTGCACCATTGAGGTAGACCCCTGGCTCTACCAGGTGTTTTTTTGTTTTGTTTTTTAATTTTTATATATAACTATGTTATATGTTATACATGCACTATTAGGTAATGTGCATATTTGAGTGGTATTCAGAAAGGATGTCTACAGCATATTGTTCATTGTTATTAGGATTTATCATCACAGTCAGGATGGGCAGAAGAAACATACATTTAAATTGAAACTGTTTTCAAATATTGTGGAACTAGGCTCAAGAAAATGTGTGGTATGCTTTAGTGCCAAATAATGACTTTAAACATTTTAAAATTTATTTTTAAAATTAAAGTTAACTCATAGCTGTTGAGGAGGAAGACAATTTTGACAATTTTACAAGAAGTGTCTCATTTGAGCTTCAAAGCAATACTGTGAGCAAAGCAAGACAGATAATACAGTCACACAGCAAAGTGTTTTGACTCAACACTTTTTCCACTACGCAACATTTCCTCTTTCATGAGGTTAATGAACTAAAATGCAAATGATAAGCTCTTAAAACAAGTCACAGTTCACAGGCTGGTAATTATCCATAAGTAATAAATAACTGAATGACCAGTCAGTGTTGTATGTATATGGAGATATGTATATATATGTGGATATATATATGTATATCTGTGTGTACATATATAGAGAGGGATAGATGTTTTCCCCCTCCATGACGTCACTTTCAAATAAGATAAATCTTGGATGCATTTTAAGGGTATATCCCACCTTGTTGATGTGCCCCTAAATTAAAGAAAAATGACTTTCTGAATTTTTCTCAACTATAACAAAATGTACATGAAACAATAATCTTTATTATATAAACAGATTACATGAGATTACTATTGAGCTCTGCCAAAATATATCAAAAGTTGTAAAATTCAATGTGTGTTAAATATTATGAGTGTTAGTTTTGAGAACAGTGTCTTCTAGAATTTGTTTTGCAATTATAGATTTCTGGAATTAAAAGACAATAGCAGGAGGAATAAGATATCTTTTGGGAACTGTTTGAATGATAAATTTTTTAGTGTTGTAACTTGC